CAAATGGTAAAGGACAAGCCTTTAGTGGAAAAGTTAAGGGATAGCACCCAATCCCAGAGTTCAAACCCCAATACAGGCACATAGATACACACACAAAATAGCTAAAGCAAAAAAGGTTGATGGACTGAATTAAGTAGTAGAATATTTCTATAGCAAGTGCAAGGTCATGAGTTTAAGGCCTCAATGCTATAAAAATTAATAATAATAATAAAATTCACTTAAGTAGTAGCATATTTCCATAACAAGTACAAGGTCCTGAGTTTAAGGCCTCAGTGCCATAAAAATTAATAATAATAATCAAATGGTCTCCATTCATTCTTCAGTTAAGAAGATCCTTGCACTGTGGATTGAGTGCTTACAGGGATCCCACCAATGAGGCAGAGTTTATTCTGTTGAAAGAGATCTCAGGAGGACAGTTGTCTTTGCCCTTCTAGGAGAGATATAAAGACCATTTCTCAACATCAGCAAATTTCTATTAATCTCAAATCAAAAAATGTACTTTGATGCTAGTGGAGGAATTGGAAAGCTCATTTTAGCTTCTGTTTCCCCCAATATTATATGCAAAGAGAAAAAGCACAGTCTTCACCCTCTGATCTACAAAGAGTTAACAGCTAAAAACCTGGATTAGTTCCACCTTTAACAGCAGAGGACAATAGGATTGCAAAGCCAGTGTTGGAGGACCCAGAAACATTCAAAGAACTGGAGACATCTCTACCCAGCTAGCCACAATTGTAAGTTGACACCTAATACATATTTCAAGCCTCCCATTTTTACCCTGAGGTGTTTTTAAGAGTTTATTTTGTATTTTACCTCACCTCTCAGCATTCAGGAATGCATTACTGGGTCATCTTTAATTCTGTTATCTTCTTATCTGTCACCCATATCCAACCACTTATTTGTCTTTCTTTCTCTCTTCCTTTTTACCTCATCATTTTTTCCTTTGTGCCTTTGTTCCTTCTTTTTCCCTCACTCTCTTTCCTTTCTCTTCCCTTTTCTGCCCTGCCCTGTCTTTCCTTCCCCCTGCCCCCACTCTCGCCCCCCCAGTATTCAGGTTTGAATTTAGGGCCTCTTGATTCTCCTTTTTTAGGATCCTGATGATCCATCTATTTCATTTTTCAGTCCTCCTCCCTCTATCCTTCCTAGTTCAAGGACTCTGGCTTGAACTATAGAAATACCCTCCTAGCCCAATTTTCTCCTCTGTGTCTCTGACTAGATGGATTTTCTTAAAGCTTTTCAACACCTCTCTCTCTCTCTCTTTCTCTCTCTCATTGGTCGTGGGCTGAACTCTGGGCCTGGGCACTGTCCCTCAGCTCTTCAGCTCAAGGCTAGCGCTCTACCACCTGAGCCACAGTGCCACTTCTGGCTTTTTTTTTGCTTATGTGATGCCAAGAAATCAAACCCAGGCCTCATGCATGCAAGGCAAGTACTCTACTACTGAGCCACCTTCCCAGCCCCCCTTCTAACTCTCTTGTTTGTAGGTTCAAAAATGTATGATTGCTGAACAAACCTCTGGGCCTTGTACATACTAAGCACATGCTCTACAACTAAGTGACACTCCAAGCCCTATCTCCTTCATTCTTTCCTTTCTTCATTTAAGTTCAGACGTTTTACTATGGCCCAAGATTCCTCAAATTTGAAATCATCCTGCCTCCATTTCTCATGTGCTATGATTACAAATGTGCACCATCACACACTTATCTCCACACTCTTATCTCCAATTACCCACCAGAAAAACCAGAAGTGGCACTGGGGGCTCAAGTGGTAGAGCTAGCCTTGAGCTGAAGAGCTGAGGGATAGCGCCCAGGCCCAGAGTTTAAGACCCATGACCGACAAAACAAACAAAATTCATTATCATTTTTATTAGTTTACACAAGTAAGACACAGGAGGATTTGTTGTTACAGTTCTACATCATCGTTACTTTTTTTTGCTCTGGTCCTGGGGTTTGAATGCTGAGCCTGGGCACTTTCCCTGAGCTCCTTTTGTTCAAGTAGCATGCTACCACTTTAGCTACAGATCCACTTCTGGATTTTTCTGTGATTAATTGCAGATAAGAGTCTCATGACTTTCCTGCCCAGGTTGGCTTCAAATTTGGTTGACTAAAAAAAAAAAATAATAAAACAAAACAAAACAAAAAACCTAGCTGACTTCGAACTGGGATCCTCAGATGTCAGCCTCCTGAGTAACTAGGATTCAGGCATGAGCCACTGGTGCTCGGCTCATTATTACTTTTTATTAGCTTACTCTCGTTAGACAGAAAAGGATTTGTTGTTACAGTTCCACATCATTATTTTTTTTGGGGGGGGGTTCCGGTTGTGGGACCTGAACTCTGGGCCTGGGCGCTGTCCCTCAGCTCTTCAGCTCAAGGCTAGCGCTCTACCACTTGAGCCACAGCGTCACTTCTGGTTTTATCCTTTTTGCTTATGTGGTGCTGAGGAATTGAACCCAGGGCCTCATGCATGCAAGGCAAGCACTCTACCACTGAGCCACCTTCCCAGCCCTATTATTTGTGTGTGTGTGTGTGTGTGTGTGTGTGTGTGTGTGTGTGTGTACCTGTCTTGGGGCTTGAACTCAGGGCCTAGATGCTGTCCTTTATTTTTTTGTTCAAGGTTAGCATTCTATCACTTGAGGCATAGCTTCACTTCTGGCTTTTCTGGTGGCTAATTGGAGAGCAGGCTTTCCTGCTGGGGTTAGCTTTGAACCAAAATCCTCAGATCTCAGCCTGCTGAGTAGATAGGATTACAGATGTGAGCTACCAGCACTCAGTATTAGTTTATTTTTAATGGCAAAAGAAAGATTGTGGGACTGGGAAGGTGGCTCAGTGGTAGAGTGCTTGCCTTGTATGCATGAGGCCCTGGGTTTGATTCCTCAGCACCATGTAAACAGAAAAAGCTGGAAGTGGGCTCTGTGGCTCAAGTGATAGAGCACTAGCCTTAAGCTGAAGAGCTCAGGGACAGCACCTAGGCCCAGAGTTCAGGCCCCACAACAAAATAAAACAAAAAAATAAAGGTTGTATCTATGTATCCTGTATGCTATATTGTATTGACATATGAATACATCACAGAAGGCTAAATTAAGCTAATTAATGAGTGTTATTTTGTATATACTTATCTTTAGAGAGAATAGTTGTACTTTGAACAGTTTTCAAGAACTCAGTATATGTATGCATTATACTCACAAATTAACATGCTGAGTTAAAAGCCCTTTGTACAACTACTTAAAGATAATATTTTTTAAAAAACAAAATGAAAAGAAAAAGAGAGAAGAAGCTCGGTGCCAGTGGTTTATACCATAATTCTCAGATTTCAGCCTCTTTAGTAGCTAGAATTATAATTATGAGCCACCAGTACCTTCACTCCCCTCTTTTCTTCCCTCCCTCCCTCCCTCCTTCCCTCCTTCCCTCCTTCCTTCCTTCCTTCCTTCCTTTTTTCCTTCTTCCTTCCTTCTTTCCTCCCTCCTCTCTCTCTCTTTATCTCTCTCTCCCTCTCTCTTTCTTTTGAGACAGGGTCTGTCTTTGCACTTGCAGTTTGTCTTTGAACTCACAATATAACCCAAACTGTCCTGGAACTCAGGATCCTCTTCCTCAGCCTCCCAGTACTGTGATCACAGGTATGTACCAATACAACCAGATTAGTTTAATTAATTCTCTGCATCTTTTCAAGCTTCCTAAAAAGAGAATCTGATCCATTCAATTGGGGTTTGTAGCTTTTTTTTTTTGTCGGTCATGGGGCTTGAACTCTGGGCCTGGGTGCTGTCCCTCAGCTCTTCAGCTCAAGGTGAGCACTCTACCTCTTTAGCCACAGCACCACTTCCAGTTTTCTCAGTTGTCTATTGAAGGTAAGAGTCTCACTGACTTTTCCTGCCCTGGCTGGCTTTGAACAGCAATACTCAGATCTCAGCCTCCTGAGTAGCTGGGATTACAGGCATGAGCCACCAGTGCCCAGCTGTAACTTATTCTTTATTATTTATTTATTTATTTATGTATTTATTGGTAGTTTGTGGGGCTTGAACTCTGGGCTTGGGTGCTGTCCCTCAGCTCTTCAGCTCAAGGCAAGCGCTCTACCGCTTGAGCCACAGTGCCCCTTCTGGTTTTCTAGTGGTTTATTAGAGATAAGAATCTTACTGACAGCCGGGCGCTGGTGGCTCACGCCTTAATCCTAGCTATTCAGGAGGCTGAGATCTGAGGATCGCGGTTCAAAGCCAGCCCGGGCAAGAGAGACCGTGAGACTCCTATCTCCAATAAACCACTAGAAAACCGGAAGTGGCGCTGTAGCTCAAGTGGTAGAGCGC